GTGTGTGTGTGTGTGTGTGTGTGTGTGTGTGTGTGTGTGTGAGTGTATACCACATGTGTACAAGCGCCTCCAGGACCAGACGAAGGCATCAGGGATAGGGGTAGTTGATGAGCTGCCTGGTGTGGGTGCCAGCAATGGAGCTTGAGTCATCTGGAAAAGCAGCAAATGCTCTTAACTGCTGGGCTATCTCTCCAGCCCTGAGACTTTTTAAAAAAGGGGACGGGGGATGGAAATCTATAGTTGTAAAAAACCATGCTTTTAGAAAGTGGGAAGCAGCCGTGTGTGGTGGCAGAAACAGGAGGATCTCTGTGAGTTCAAGGCCAGCCTGGTCTACAAATTGAGTTATAGGACAGCCAGGGCTACACACAGAGAAACCCTATAAGGGTGGGGCAAAAAGATTTTCACTTTTGCCCACAGTCTTCCTCACATAGTACCTCATCCCAGACATCAAGTCACTATGACTCCTACCTTAGAGTTTGCTGAATAGCCTTAGTCCTGTCACTTAACCACTCTGGCCCTGGGTTCCCAGAGATTGCTGAGAATGTAAAAACATGAGCTTAAATGGCCTAGTACATAGCAGGTGTCCGCCAACACAGAAATTGTTAACTATCATAAAAGGATTAAAAGGGCCAATTAGCCCCATGCAGTCTTTTAGGTAGACACCTGGTTGGCTGAGGGAATTGGCAGAATCAGTGGTGGGGTCATGATTTTTGTGACCTTTTGAAGTCACTGAAGCTGAAGGTCAGAATTTTATCATGAGGACATTGTCAAGAGGGAGGGAGGAGGTGTTGACCTCTCTAGCCTGACATCCTTTTTCTCTAGTACTTAAAAATTCTCTTATTCTTTGAGAAAGTCAGGGTTAGGAGCTGATGGCCAGTCTCTCTCTCTCTGCGTCTCTCTCTCTCCTGTGTGGTATGTGTGTGTATATATGTGTGTGTATGAGTCTGTCTGTCTCTGCCTTCTGAGTGTAGAACCTGATCTGTTTCTGCTCTCCCCCCAGGCTTACCCTATCTACTCTATACCCGGTATGGGGAGAGGGTAGGGGAGTGAGAGCATTCCTGTGCAGATCTGCCACTCCTCAAGCAAGTCCCTTCCAATCCCACTTGGAGGGAAGGTCTGCCTCCTGAGCCATGCTCCCCACTTCTGCCTGCCTTTGGAGCAAAAGCAGTATGGGGAACTGGAAGGTTAGAGTCTTTGTCATCGGCCTGGGGCCCCTTGCTATCTTGTGGAAGAACCTAAATGGGTCTGGCAGCCCCCCTGGGGTCTTGTGGGAACACTTAGCTTCCTGGCCTTCTAAGAAAGCCAGGAGCAGCTGTTGAGACACCTGAGTTGGGTGCCACTGGAGGCTAGAGGAAACTGATGCTGTCTCTCCAAGGTGGCTCTTTGAAGCAGCACCTGTATCTAACCTCACTCTGGGTCCAGAAGGCCTTCTTACCTTCCTCAGTGATCCTGCTCTCTCCCTCCTCCGGGGCGTGGGGCGTGGGCATGCCAGGTCCGCTTGGCAACTTTTGTTTTCTTTTGCCCAGGCACGGTTTAGGCAGGGGACAGAGGAGATAGGTGTTGCCCATCAATGCCACCTGCTCTATGTGCCCCACCCCCCAGTCTCGGCTCCCTAGAGATCCCAGGGAAACCCTCCCTAGCTGTGCCCAGCTTCCTTTGAGATGGCTTTCTCTGCCTGCCCTGCCTCAGAGAAAACTGGTCCTTTGAAGAGTCACTTGCCCTTCCCAGGAACCACGATGAATTCTTTTGCTAGGAGAGGCTCCTTTGGGCGTGGGGACAGGGAAGCCAAG